GCATCGTCAACTAGCACGTCAGGGAGTTCTGGTGGTTCGTCAGGCTCATACTCTTGATCAACAGCATGTTTCAAAACCTCCTGATCAACAAGCTCTTCAATATTTGCAGCCTTGACATCATCAATTGATGGCGGATTGCTCGAAATGGAAATGCCTGGGTACAACCCTTCTCGTATCATGTTGTACCTGCCTTTGCATGGGAAGTGTAATCCGATGTCGGGAACGGCGATCTGATGGACTCTTAATGGTTGAATCTCCGCACTGAAGTCTGATTCCATGACATCCTTCAATGGTAGAACCATGAACTCCTTTCTCCACACAAAATTGGACTGAACGGCATATCCCAAGAATATCCCTGGGTTTGACGTCGGTTCGAACCTGAGAGAGGACTTGGCTTTGTTCTTGGGGCCGATCCAGTAATCAATCCTCAACCCAAAGGGAACCAAAGGGCCTTTGAACTTCTCACCGAACCGAAGCGACCAAGGCGAACTACCCTCCCGGGCGTCGACGATATTGTTTGCCATGCATGCATGCCTGGCAGCGTGAGCCCAATATTGATGGTGTAGGCCTGCTTGCTCTAGGTTTACGCTTGTTCCATCGATGACGGACCGAATTGATCTTTCAGCCATAGCATTGGTCTTAGAGACGTATGCAAAGCTGGTTTGATGTCTCCATCCTAGCCTTTCGGCAGTCGCGATGAGTTCTGGTGAATTGTCGGAATAAAATACTCCTACATCATCAGTCGAACGGACAAAATGCTTGAAGGCTGCTATGCATTCACGTGTTGATCGACGGGCGGCCGGATAGACATACCTGAAATCCGTTGCCACGTCTTTCACGACCAATGCGACGCGAGCCCCATCGATGTCCATTTCCTCATCGTCACGAATAACAAGATGGTCAGCAGTCAAATGTTGCCCGAAATGATCCGCCTCTACCTGGGTTGAACCACCCTTGCTATACGATGGACGCTTGGTCATCTTCGCTCTCGAGCAGGCTTGACAAAAGGGGTTCTTTGGGGTATGAGTCAACAGATGTTGAATGGATCGTGCTTCTTCCTTGAGAGCTTTCTCTCCCCTATCCCTCTTCGGGTCCAACGGCTTCTCCACCAACCTTTCATCCACGGGCTCGGTATCATCTTCAACAGGATCCTCGCCGATGGGGTTGTCCTCATCATCCTGGACTTCAATTGCCTCTTCAGCCGGTGACGCGGGCAGAGGGATCATTGGTCGCAGCCCCTTTGACCGATCGTTCGTACCGTAAGGTTGACCTATGGCGGACATTGCAACACCTGTGGTGGATGGCAAGTATGGAACATAATCCTCTACTTCAAGCTTGACTTTGGTTCCGTCTGGTTTCTTGAAGTACGGCCTACTGTAAGCGGGCCAATGGAAGCTCCATCCTGCGTCGATGCAGCGTTGTCCTACCGATACGACGGCTGGGCTATCTTCCAAGACATAAGGATTGATATCAGTTCCCAACACGGGGACATTGACTCTGGCTTGATCAGTGGCTTGAAAGACTCCGTTGGCAGTAAGAAGGCTGACCGGTTTGGACGATTGTGACACTTCATCCGAATGTAGCATGTGTCTGGATACAAGATCGTGTGCGCTTCCAGTATCTGCAATCCATGCGATCTCAGTGGCTGGCGCTGTTGGACATGACCTCCTCTCAAAACACTTGATGCAACCTATATCAGAGTTGCACAGGTACGAACATTCTGCCGGCAAGGACAACAGCTCGTTCCTGACAGCATTCTGAAGGTGTGATGCTGCAATGGATGCGTCCTCAGTGGCGACACGAACTGCCTCAGCATGCTCCGGCCGACCTGGTGTAAAGGGTCTTCGTTTCTTCTTACTCCGGGGTTGAACGGACCTCCAACTGGAAGAAGACTCAACAGCATGATTGAAAACGTTTGGTTGATCGTCAAAACGAACTCTTTGCGTAACAAAACTGTCAATTTTTCTGTGTTGTCAAAATCGGTGCACATAGTGTTTGATGCGGAAAGGACTGGCATGGCCACGCTTCCCAGCGGGCGAGTGATGAGGACGGAGGATCCCTGAGAGACCACTGCGGCCATGACCACTGCTCGAAGGAGGCATACCGCTGCCGGTGCATTGGAAGAAGAAGACTTCCCACCTTTTCTCCTCTGACTCTCGGAGCCAGTTGAGTTTTCGGAGCCTGATGATCCTCGGGAGCTGCTTCGCTTGCGAGGTTTCTTGTCTTTCTTCTTCTTCTTCTTTTTGTCCTCTTTCTTCGCAGGGACAGTCTTTTCAGGGTGTTGGAATGCGCAGTCTTTTCCTCGGTGGCAATGTCCTGCCTTCCAAAACTTGCAAGTCTCCTTGCGAGATCCTGGTGTCAGCGATCTTGACCGAGACTGGCTGCGATCCTTGCCCTTTCCCTTTCCTTTGCTTTTCTCGCGGCCTTTTTCGTGCTTGTAAGGACATGATGATCCGCGCTTGCATTTTCCGGTCTTTTGGAACTCGTAGCAGATGCCTTTCTTCTCCTCCGGAGCTGGCATGGTTGTGTCTTTGGACCCGAGCGAACGCTTCGTGGCGTCGCGCATCTTTTCCAACCTCTTCCGTTCTAGATAGGCCCGGGCAGCAGTAATCAGGAAGTCATATGTTCTTTCTTTGCTTCCATCGGCTGCACGGTCGTACAAGGCCAAGTCATGCTCAAGCGGCTTGAAACGCTTCACTGCCAGGTGAAAATAGGCTTCCAGAACACTGTTTTCCGGTTCCTTTTTCATTCCGGCAAGAACGCTATCCCATTTATTTATAAAGCCTTTGAGGTCATCGTTGACCATTTTGACGGACATGAGGTCTTCGAGCCCGTAGATTGCTCCATGCTTTATGCTTGTGGCAAAATACTCGTGGAACCGAAGGAGCAAGTGTCTACCCTTCACGTTCTTGTCTTCACGAGCACGCAGCTCCTTGAATGTGGCAATCTGCCGACCGAGGTCCCCCTCAGCGCAATTTGTTAAGCTTGCAAGAAGCTTTGCGTCGAGGGTTGCAAATCCCTCTGAATCATCCAAGGCATCAATGGTTTGGGAATCTTTGCATACTTTCCCAACCCAAGATCTTGCTTCATCCGGCTTCGCTGAAGCTGCAGCAATATTGTTCCTCACCTTGATCTTCCAATCTCTGTACTTCTCAGGCGTGGGGAACTTGGGAATGAGAATTTTGTCAGCTTCTTTGGCTTTACTCTCATGATCCTTGTCTTTCGACTTCTTTTGCTGCTTCTTCAACTCTTTGCGAATGATGCGTGCAAGACGCGATGATTCAGAGCTTGAGTCATTTGAGTCATTACTCCCTCCTGATGAACTTGGTGACGATGGTGATGGGGAAGGAGAGCGTTTCTTTCTGCGCTCCCTCGAGCGGCCCCTCTTAGGGCTCTTCTCTTTCTTCTTATCCTTACCTTTCTTCTTCTTGTCTTTCCTTGATTTGTCACCACCCTCTTCATCAGCATCGGATGGATGAGGCTCATCACCGCCTTCGATCCCGGGCTTCTCCAACTGAGTGCGAAGGCCCGCTGGAGGCAAAGCTGGGGACACCTGAGAGCCAGGTGGCTGCACTAATGGTGCAGGCACTCGGTTCCCCGAGGCGTTGTCAAACCTCTCTCTCAACTCCTTGATGATTCGACTCTGTTCTGCTAACTCTGACCGAAGTGCATCTTCTCTTTGCTTGGCAGAGGCGCGTTCGTTCTCAACGACGGTGTGTCGTTCGAGCGAAAGGCGATCTAAGTAAGCCCGTTGTTCTTGAAGATGTTGATTTTGATGGGCTTGGTTCATGTCACTCAATCGTTGATTGGCTAAAGCCTCAATCTGTTCCCTAGACTCCTGGACAGCCACTTTGGCTTGGTTCTCCACTACGTCTCTAAAATGCCTAGCCTCCTCAGCTACTTGTTGCCCGTGCTCTGCCAAAATGGCCTGATGCCGCAACTCTGCGATCTGAGCTACCTGTGCTGACCTGTCCTCATTGACGAAGACTGCTTGTTGATGGATCTGTCTCGCATCAACGTTCTGGACATTCATTACAGGAGAAAACTCAGGTTGAAACGGCGATGGTGCTTGACCACTAGGCAACAGGTCCCCCTGTGCACTGAACGTTGGTGGCGCAACTGGTACACGCAACTCCAGCGGAACAACAGGGAGATCAGCAGCAGGTGAACTGGACATCGCAGGCGAAGTAGGAACGTAGCCTGATCGTGAGCGGTCACCACGGGAACCCTCATCATCAGCCATGGCCTCTAGATAGTGCACTACCTAGGGTGGGGTGAGACCACAGCTAGTAGAAAGCACGTACCGCACTTATGGCGATACGGCTGATAACCTGTAGATACAGGTAAACGACCGATAGCTACCAACAAGTCGCACCTGGTTTTCCTTGAGCCAAACGATAGTAAAGTGAGACATGTATACGACATCCTAGCGTGAAACAACAGGATATTCTTGTCCAACAGCTTTTGTGGGACACCCTCGATAGGCACTCTTGTAGGACTCTTTTCGGACATTCTTATGGGACGCTCTTGTCCGACACGTTGCGCGACACTTGTGCTTGACACTCCTGTAAAACACTCTTTCCGGGTACAAGGACACTCGGCTTCTGAGGCACTCGTGTCGCGCAATCTTGTAGCATCGCCCTTGTAGCTCATATAAGCCAGTTTTGTCAGCTCCCTTTTAGCGATACAGGAGCCATTGCGCCCCTTCCAATCCGTAAAGTCTGGCTTCACTTGGTGAAGGGCCAGCTTACTGTTCGATCCCAAGGCTCTGGATCGGACCGCGTGGGAGGCACGCCGCCCAGGAAGCTGGCTTGTAGTTGACCCAGGCATACGAGGCGAGGTCATCTACTTGACGGTAGGAGCAAGGACGCTACTAGGAGCAAAGGGCATCGCTACTAGGAGCAAGGACGCTACTAGGGGCTCCTGGCCCTACTACTTGGGATTGAATGATTGGGCCCATGAGTGAACGGGGGCAAATTGTTATATACCCGCTCCTGTCTCCCGTGCAAGAAACCTGTGGAGTTTCTTTTCAAGCGATTTCCCAAGTCTGGGCCATTTGGCCAGGCACTCAAAGAAACTGTCTAGCATTAGCCAGGCAGCAAGGCAGTGCTCAAAAAAAGGTGTGCCAAATGAAGCGCTTCCAAGGGATATCTCGCCAATCCGGACCGATGAATTTCTTGCAGGTCTTCTGGACATTTCGGCCCCGCGGATCACCGCATTTGCGGTAGAGTTCGCAAAGCAGCGGCGACAAAGAATGGCAAGCACCAGGTGACGTTGTGCAACCAACGTGCTGCGTTGTTGCATCAAGTGATTCCAGCAGTACCTCACATCCAATCAAATCAAACAAGGAAAACAAGACGGTACAATAAATGTAGGATGATGAAACGATTCTTGTGGAAGGCTCACTAGGTTCCAGACTGTTTGGTTCTCAACTCCGCCGCTTCACGCAAGGCTGCGACGGTTGCAACACCATTCAGTTTGACATGGATCTCACACGAACATTTGTTCAAAGGCGCGTTGTGTGGTACCGCAGCTTGTGGCATGCGCTTGAGGAACCATAGCTTTTCGTGGCAAGTGTACTTTGCCTACTTGAAGACATCTAAGTTTTGTGCGCGCTGCATCAAGTGATTCTCGAAGATGCGCCGTACAAAAGACAAAAAAAAGGATATTCACCACACTGTGCTGCATTGATGCAATTACTCTGCGGTGCGTATCTATTTCCGAACACTCCGAGAAACAGGACATGATTACACAACCAAGGTAGCTTGAACAAACCTACATATACTTGAAGGAGAGTTCTGCAGGAACAAGAATCTTCGCATCATTACACCGTTCAGGGTTTGTCGGGGTACTCTTTAATTGAAACTCTAATTCAAAGGAAAGGTGCAGGGACAAGATCCCCCCAAGGAACGACTGCGACAATGTTGTTCTCCAATGGCAGCTCATTGACCTCCTAAGAGAGAACGATAAACAGTCTGAGTCATGAGCCAAGACAAACGCATCTGTTTCATGATGAATACGCAAAACATCTGTCGCCATGGGGCAAAGCCAAAAGTGCGGTAGGCGGTAAAGGCACCACCAACAGGCATCCAAACCAGTGTAGGGATTCTCTCCAAACTGCCGAGGACTTGTGCAAGACCACCACCCAAGGAGTGCCCAGTGAGGATCAAGTTGTAGCCATCCTGACATCGAAAAAACATATCAACGCAGGAAGCCAAGTGTGCTGAAAGGGAAACGGGCAGAAGGTCTAAAATTACAGGACCGGAAATCCCGGTGTGTGCAGCTTGCGCGTTTTCCCAAGTGGAGGCAAGAGCGGAAGAAAAAGGAATGATAGCGGACGAGTGTATGTGTATGATGAGCGTAGATGTGAACATATTGTCATGAGTGAGTGAGAGAGAGAGAGAGAGAGA